CAGCAGCAAGGGTCTGAAAACATATAATAGTCAGTATGTGGAAGCACATCGATGCACGGGAAGCTCACAATGAGCACCGAGGTGGAAAGGATAGAGAGTTTAGAGAACATGTTTGGTTAGAGCTTGAATACAGAGGGATGTGTTCGAGTGAAGATTAGGAGTCTATCGCGCGGGCTTTTATAGGGTCGCGTCCAGATTTTCCCGCGATTGACGAGGAGCATAGGATTTGCAGTAGTTCAGGAACATGGTCGAATTGGCCGAAGGAACAAGTCCCGAGGTGTGGAGTAGTGGAGCTGGTAGACAAGAGAGAGCGAGTAAACGTCGAGGAGGGGGCAACTGAATTGAGGTCCTGCTATACACGTGGTCCGGCTGCAGATGCCATTTGGCAGCGAACCGGTGCCCTTTTTTCTTCCACGCGTCATACAATGTCCATTGATTAACGTTAGTGGTAACGACAAATGACGTCCACATTTTCCGTACTTCCACCGTAACAGCGCTTTTGACCGCGGCGGAACATTCAATCCGTCAAGTCACCCATTTTAACCTGTGTTTCATCACCCGTGACAGCGCAGGTCGAGAAATCCCGTTGAAAGACGGAAAAATTCTCAAGAGAGTCGTTGTCTTAGAATATGGTTTACCGTGGTACGGCCACAAAAGGATTCCTACTCATAACTGCACCCGACTCCGTGGGTGCACTTAATTTACCTCCAACGCAGGATCTTCCCATGTCAATCACTGAGTGAATTGCTCCACAGATGGCCTTCGGACGCGCGCTTTGTCTGGGGGGACAATTCACGTGAGGATATCAACATATCATTTACTTCTTATAGCTATATTTCCGTTATTTTATGTTACCATACGTCTATCAGCTCCACAGCTCCACTCTTCGCGAACTTACGAGTCAACGGACCTAAAACTATGCGCGCACGTCGTTCTCTGGACTCGCGGGAATATCTGTAACCGAACGAGATAAAAAGCAGTCCCAGGCAACACCAACTCTCACTCGAACACATCCCCCTGTAGTTCAAGCTCTCTCAACAAACAAATATGTTCTCCAAACTCTCTGTCGTTGTCACTTCGGTGTTCATTGTACGCACTCTCCATTTTTGAGGTTGTGCTCCTGCTAATTATACTATTAACGCAGACCCTTGCTGCTGCCAACCCGTGGACCACTCCCCCGGTGACGCCCCCTACCTCCAACCAATGCTGCTCCAGCGTCCAGTCGTCCAGCAGCAGTGACGTCTCTGACATCGCTGCCCTTCTGGGCCTCAACGTCCCTGTCGGTCTGAGCTGCTCGCCCATCACCGTCATCGGAGACAACTGGTAGGCAATTACTTGCTTTATTCCGAGTGCGGCGGCCCTGATGCGCATCAACAGCGGTGGAACCGAAGTTACCTGCGATGCACCCGATCAGGCATGGGGTGGCCTCATCGCCATCAACTGCATCCCCATCACCCTCTGATTGGATGAGTACTTACTTTGAAGAGATGGCTGCACATATTTCCCTGGATCGTAGTGTTGTAGCCGCTGTCTTGAAAATTTAATACTGTCGTGTTGGATTTCTGGATGTGCACATATTCGATGATTATGGACCTGGAGTGTTGCTTCGAATAAGTAATCACCTCGCACTTGGCTACTTGGAGGCACTTGGTTCCAATCGCTCCGATTTCAATTAACGATACAGTATGCAGAGCTTGATCTACTAGGCTAAGGCGTAGACCTATGATCAGTCCGAGGACAAAAGATCCGCCGGGTCGCACTTCGTTTACAATGTCAAAAATCTTCGAATTCGCTAAAGCGGTGAGACGGCGGGTCTGCGCCTAGGCGTGTAAACCAGCTATTTTGTCGCTCCTAGGGACGGCTTACCTCCCTAGGAACATCTATAAGGGAACAGTCACCATTCCTAGGGACCCTGTTCGGTGATATACAATTAGAGTCAGAGTGAGCTCCGAGCTGTTGACTGAGTGTTAATGATACAAGAGGTCTGGAATAGTGTATGTACGTGGGATTCTTGGCTCTTCCCAAATGGGAGTCGGGATCGCTGTCATATAGTAGGAAGCACCGTCTGATTCAGTCCATAACCTATATGTAGGGGCGGATTGCGCGGCGAAGTTAGACACCATACCAAGGAGATATGCCAAAGCCCAAGGCAGACAACGAGGATTATATCCAGAAACAACCCAAGAGACTGCACGGTTGAGGTTTATGGCACGGCGTTGACCCTAAATAGGATAATTATCCTCCCTAGGGGACATCGTACAGACGGATAGCTGCATGTCTAGGATGGTCAACCGTCCTAGGAGCAGTAATTACTATTACGACTGAGTGGCGCACCCTACCTAGGGTTACTTCCAACGAAGTACGAACCACCAGGCATAGCCCACGGGACCTGGCTATAGGTCTAGAACACACGTGACACATGTGTCGCGTTGCAAAGGCAAATACAAAGACAAAGCAACCATATTTGAAATACATGTGGAAGCTGGTTTAGAAGAAACATATACCCGAGCGGGTTGCGTGGCTAGACGGCCCTGCGGCATCCTTTAGCTCAACAAAATGACCAAAGGCTTGGTGTTTACAAACCAAGCCGCCTCAAAACGTCTTCATGGCAGGATACGCGTCAGCCCGGCCGTTCCTAGGAGTCATCTTGATGACTGTTTCGGCTGTTTCAGCTACGAATCATGGCGGCATGACCTGCCATCTCTCCGAATTTCCAATACTCTCTACTCAGTTACTCATTTCGTATTATTTCTGTTTACTCATATCTCACTGTCATGTATTTTCAAAGTAGTATAAAACCCCAGCTAGATCCTGCAGTTGAGGAGGACATCATGCCCCAGTATTGCCTAGACTTTGGTCGAAGCACTGCTTGTCAAGGCATTGGTGTACTCTTGACCTAGCTGCAGAGATTTGTTAACTCATATCTTCTGTATCTGTTCAATATAAGACCTTTGATTGTTGGCTACACTCGAAAGCTTTAAGTACCAAGCTCGCTTGTAGCGGCCGCTGCTAGTGAAAAGGTACCTCAGTTTGTATACTGAGGTCTGCTGTTGGAATCGTACGAATTGGTGCGGTCGCAGTACCCTAAAGGTACCTTGGTTTGTATACCAAGGTCTGCTGTTGGAATCGTACGAATTGGTGCGGTCGCAGTACCCTAAAGGTACCTTGGTTTGTATACCAAGGTCTGCTGTTGGAATCGTACGAATTGGTGCGATCACAGTACAAAGGTACCTCAGTGCCTGAGAGCCGAGGTCTATTGTTGGCATTCTACGAATTGGTAGCATCGCAATACCGTCTAAAAGGTACCTGTCGTTTGTACACACAGGTCGTCTGTTGGAACTCCACGAATCAGTGTGGTCGCAGTCCCCTATACCCACTCCTAGTGATCACAGTAGCATCCTAGGGAGTAAAGCCCGTTCCTAGGAACACATAAAACCCATATAAAAACCCGTTGCTTCGGTAACTTGGTAGCCCATTTCAGTTGTTTATCAACTATCGTTGTTTCCCACAAGTCCTAGACAGACTCCAAAGTTTGATTCGTCCAAATATCAATAGTGTTGATTCAATCTTAGTCGTATACTGCGGCGTAGACCTGAACTCAAGTCCGCACTGTGTGTTGTGTGTGTGTTGGTTGGTTGGTTTGGTGTTTTACATCACTCTATATCAGTCCTAGCATAGGCCACGCTCGAGTGCACCGTTTCAGCGGGTTCCATCTCTGGAAGTCAATCCTGTTGAAATACTTACCCACAGGAAGACTGTAATTTTTAAATTCGGTTTCGGGAAGTACAGGGTATTGGAAATCGCACTTTCAAAAATAAACGAAGCTGAGACTATCGACGCACTGACATTGGACACGTCGTACGCATCTGCTCTGGCGACTGATTCAACTTATTGTCGTTCCCGGGCGGTACATCGTGGTATCCTGCATTACCACACAGAATAGCCCAGGAAGGAAAAAAAAATTGCCCGAGGGTCAGTGACTCCACTTGGAAGGAAGGCGAATTGGGAGAAATACCAGAACAGTATAGCAATCTGCGATCAGACATTTAATAAAAAGTGGCAGATTCAGCGGATATAGAACTATTTATTTTCCTCGGGAGATCCATCAATTCACGCCCGGCGGCAGAAGCAGCGCCGGTGTGGCGCCGGCGAGTCTGTCATCTAGAAATAGCGACAGTTAGCCCTATATAAAGGGGTGCTGAAGCACACATGTATCCCACCCCATTTTCCTTAAGCGCTTCGCTGGTACACCTCCACTGCATCGTCTGTCAAGAGAGACAAGCTCGCACCGAGAACAAATAAAAACTTCGATGCTGCAGAAGTCGAACCAGGGATTTAATTGGGGATATTCTATTGAAAGCAGGCGTGGGCCTTCCCTTCTCTCACCTCACTCTCCGCCTGATGACTGCTGCATCTTCAATACAGCTGCATGAATTGGAGAGAGAAAAAAACAGTTAGCTTTCCATCTATGACCTAGCCTGGAGTCGAACCAGGAGCATTCCTGCGGCATACTCTTGCTGGTATTATCGAAAGCAGGTGCGGTCCGTCCGCTACTATGTCTTACTCCATCACTTTTACCCATACCTTAGCACAGTGTCTCAACCACGAATCAAACAAAAGTGGTACGAGCAAAACATATGACTTAGCCTGGAGTCGAACCAGGAGTTCCTTGCTGCTGATCTGGATGAGCACAATCAATGCAGGTGCGCCCCTACTAGGTCCTCCTTCCCTCACTTTCAACCTTTGATAGATCAGGAATTTTTCAGCTATCCAACAATGAATCAAACAACAAGTTTTGGATCTAGAGCATGCCATGACCCAGCCTGGAGTCGAACCAGGAACTCTGGCATTATACAGTACTACTATCACTGAAAGCAGACACGGTCCCTCCACTAATAGGTCTTCCTCCCCTCAATTTCAACTTCAATTCATGCACGACGTCGACTTCGCGGCACCACGAACCACGAGTCAACGAAAAAGGCATCAGAAAAACAGATTCATGACCCAGCCTGGAGTCGAACCAGGAACTTTTACTTGAGACTTCTATTCGTACACACTGAAAGCAGGCGCGGTCCCTCCGCTACTAGGTCTTCGTCCTCTCATTTCCAACCTTTGATACATTAAAGGATTTTCATCGCCTAGTATAAGCAAAAAGGCTTGGTAGAGCAATGACCTCGAACCAGGACCTCCTCTCGTAAATAGATAGAAACCATTGATTCACTGAAAGTAGGTGCGGTCTGTCCGCTACTATCCCTCGAGTTCAACTCTAATTTATCTCCGAGTAACCGCGAGGAATCCAGAAAGAAGGAAAAAGGAGTCTGAACCACCAGTACGACCCAGCCTGGAGTCGAACCAGGAACTCCTGTGTTACAGTGTATGTATGCACCGTAGCAGCACGGCGGAGGAGGAAGGAAGCGCGGGTGGAGGGTGGGAAGGAAGGAATTATGAAGTGGAGTGGAGTGGTGGATGGAGGGAGGATGCGAAGATAAATGAGGACGGGTGCATCATAACGAATACACCTTCGTATCCTCTTTCGAAGGGATTTCCTCTTTTAAAGATACAGGATGGAGCAGGGAACTGGGGTGGGGGATACGAAGGAGGAAGGGCGGTTGTGCAAACTGTGGAGAAAGGAAGAAAGGAGCCACAAAGCAGCAAGGAGAATGTATGTAGTATAGATAACGAATGAGGAAAATGGTGTGAAGGTGGGACGAGGAGGGATGCGAGGACGAATTAATGGGAGAGCGAATGAGGACGGACAACGCGCCATGAACGCATGGAAGGAATTCGGAGGGGTGGGGATATGAAGAGAAGAAAGGAGCCGCAAAGCACGGAGGAAGGACATACGAGAACAAATGCGGAAAAAAATGATATGAAGAGGACGAAGACGAGCGATGAATGCGAGAGCGAATGAGGACGGAGGAGGCGATGGGGGATACGAAGGAGAAAGGGTGATCGTGCAAAACGAGGAGAAAGAGAAAGAAGGGAGGAGGATGCGAGTAGCAAGGAGATACGAGAACGAGAACGGGCGAGGGGCATGATGTGAAGGTGGGACGGAGTATAGAAGACGGACAGCGCGCGATGGACGCGCAGAAGCGCAGAAGGGAGGATTCGGAGGGTGGGGGATACGAAGGAGGAAGGGCGGTCATCGAAACATGGAGAAAGGAGGGAGGGTGCGAGTAGCAGCAACGAGATACGAGAACGAGAACGGATGTATGTAATAAAAGAATGGATGAGGAAAATGAGGTGAAGCTGGGTCGCGGATGAAATGCGAGGATGGAGGACATGGAGAAGGAATTCGGAGCGCGGAACTGGGGAGGGTGGGGAAATGTGATAGATAGGCGGACGTGGAAGGCAATAGGAAACGAAGAACGGAGGAAGCATAAGAACGAGGACGCAGGGAGGGGTGCGCCGGTATGAATGAATGATGAATGGAAAGGGGACGCGCGGAACGGGAAGATGTGGCGACGAAGGACGCGCAGCCGCGGAATACGAAAGGATGGACGCAAACGCAAAGAAAACTCACCTCCTGCCCTAACTCCCCCTTCCCTCCCCACCCCACGGCGGCCACCCCGCACAAACCACCCCCTCCACGCGCCGCGCGAGGTGTGGCCGTTGTAGACTAGCGCGGAGTTGGTGCGCTCTTCTGTCTCCTCCCTCCCTCGTTCCTCGCCCATCTCCACCCGGATCGCGAACCCCACGCAGAGAAGCGGGCAGACGCCCCCCACCGAGCAAAGTAAAATCACACACCCCATACAACCGCCCCCTTGCCCCCTCGCACGCGGTCCTGCACACGCGCGCCACGGACGCCGCGTCCGCCTTCGTGAGGCCCTCGCTCATGCGGGGTGTGACGTCGCCGACGCGCATGTGGTCGCTCGTGAGGTGACCCGCGCTCGTGAAGGCGGAGGAGGAGGAAGAGAAGGAGAGGATGAGCGCCCAGAGCGGCGCGGACAGGTGGGGCGCCGTTCGTCGTGGAGGTGTGGAAGAGGTGTGGGAGCGTCCCGCGAGAAGGTCCGCCTCCCGCTGTGCGGACTTGGGCGGGACTTGGGCGGTGAGCGCGGCCGGGAGCCGGGGAGCGAATCTTCGTTGGGCGCTGACCCGGGTGTGGATTTGGGCGTGGACGTGGGCGCCGAGCAGGGCGTAGTTTTGGGCGGTATGGCAGGCGACGGGGACGAGGGAAGACGCGTGGCCGCGCCACCCTTCGCCGTGATGGGAGACGCCGAGGCGGACGAAGACCCCAAAGCCGGCAGAGGGAACCGCAAAAGCGCAGCCATCGGCGCCGAGTGTGCGCGCATGCGCGGGCCGTCCCTTCCCCTTCCATTCCTCGCGTCCCCGTCCCCGTCCCCGTCCCCGTCATCTGCCCCGTCATCGCCATCATCCCCCGTACCCGTCCTTGGAAACGCCCCCGCCGCCGAAGATGAAGGGAACACCGTGACCCGCGCCTCCCTTGCATCGTCCCTCCCTCCCAGCGAACCTCTCGAAGATGAAGGGAACGCCGCAGATGACGGGAACGCCGCAGACGAAGGCGACGCACCCGCACCCCGCCCAGGAACCCACCCCTCGGCCTGCACACGCCAAACTGCCACTCCTCTGCAAAGGCGCGCGCAGAGGGCGGCGCGGGCGGGCCCAGGCCGGCGGGGCGGCGGATGTCGTCTTCGCCTTCTTCATCGTCTTCCTCTCTATCTCGATCGTCGTCATACGAGGAGCCAGAACCCCGAGCGTACGCACGCCCCTCATCCTCCTCCGAACCGAGTAAAGACGCAGCCCCCCCAGCCGCCGGCCGGCTTATATCGTCTTCCTCGTCCTCGTCCTCTGAGGCGGAGGAGGGCGCGGGGAGCGGTTTGCCGCGGCTGAATTTCGCCCTCGACTTCGACTTGGCGGATTTCCCGGGCGGCGAGGACGACACGGGCTGGGGGAAGGACCGGGGGAGCGCGGGCAGGGCGGAGAGCTTCGATTTTGGGGAGCGGCCGAGGGAGGAGGCGAGTGATCTCGACCGATTAGGCGTCGAGGTGGAGGTGGAGAGGGAGAGGGAAAGGGGCGGGGACTGGAGGGATAATTTCGTGGACGTGCGCTTGACAAGCCTCCCCCCGGTTACCAGACGCACGTCGGGCGTGGAGGCGGCGCTCGTGTAGCGCGCCGTGGGCGTGAACGAGCCTGAGCGCCAAATCCAAATATATCAGTCGCGTGGATTAGATGAGAGGGGGGGACGGGACGCACCGGTGTTTTTGGACGAGGACGAGGAGCGGAAGAGCGAGGAGACGCGGCGGATGAGGCCGCCGTCCTTCTCTTTCGACGTCGACTTCACACTCGACGCTGACGGCGCATGGACGCGCACGTGAGGCCGAGCGGGAGCGGGGGGCCGTCGTCCTCCTCCTCGGGGTCGCAGATGGCGTGGACGCGAACGAGGGCAGCGCCGCGAGCGAGCGGCGGTGGCGCAGCATCCAGATATCGGTGCAATCGCGGGCGAGTTATTTATGGCTTGCTTGTTCCTGTAAAGTCCGACGCGCGATTGCTTCCGCAAAGTAGGATAGGGGCCAGGGAGAGGAAACGACAGTGCAGTAGAGAAAAAAAGGATTTTGCAATGGTGAGGACGAGAGATGTTGCCTTGACGACCTCAATTATCAGATCATCCACGCGTATTAGCGCCGGCGTCTATAACGGGGGCGGTGAGGAGATCGGCATATCTCGTTAGATGTCCGATCCATTTTTGCCGATTTTTGCCGTTTCCGTACACCCATTTTCCCTCCAAATCCGTGCGCATTGATATCGGGTGGCCCAAATTTGGGCTCGCTCCGTCCGCACAAGTGAACGGACCTCTGAGCGACGCACTTCCATCAGCATAAGGGATCGGACCTCCATCGAGGCGACTTCCGTCCGCATAATTGTGAAAAACACTTATATACATGCAGCAGTAGACGTAGTGACTGTATTAGACTATTGAAAGCTAGATAGGTGTACTAATCCTCCTCAATATGCTCTGTGTCCTCTCGCAGCACAACAAAACTCAAGGGTTCCTGGGGACCGGTATCGACGTTCTTGTACTTGGCCATCTTCACGAGCTCTTCGATGGCGATACTGAGGGAGTGCTGGTGCTTCTGGAACTTCTGGAACAAAGCAGTCGCGACGAGCCTGAGTCGGATGAGTCATGACCAGTCACCTTAGGTAGTCGGCGGCAAGTCCAATTTGGCAGCCTACATGAGCCTGCATGGCGCCTTTCATTTAGTTATTGTAAGTAGGCAGAATCTTAGTGTAGCGGTGAAGGAAAAGCGCACTGAAGTGGTGTGCACAAAGTCGAGAGTCAACAGGGTCACGCATGTGACACGACGCGAAAAGGTTGCGAATCGTTAGACGTATAGCTCTCGGGGGATGCTTAAAGGCCTTGAATCTCAGACGGAAATATTCTTGAAATTTTCAATAGACATGTGAGAAGTAGCTTATGAACGGCGGGCTTTGCACTGGGCATGTAGGAATATTATCTTGACGCGTCAAAGTTAGCCGAGTCGCGTCGGTGATCACCGTGCGTGACTGCTAGTCAATTTGTTTTTTCTCCCTCATTGCGCGCATAGCACCGGTACGCCATATGAAAATGGACAGAGGAATTGAGAAGAACGGAACTGAAGGCCCTGCACGAACTGAGATTGTAAAATGTAAAATAACATCAAAGTGTGAATTAATTGAAGCATTGTCTTGAGAAACTTAAACAGGAAAGAAGAGAAGGTATGCGCAAAAGGAGCAAGACAACAAATATATTCGGAGACAACGGACAGGGATGGGGCCCCACGCGCCCCAAGAACCGCCGCCCTGAGTTCCCTGCGCCTGATAAGCGGATCGGACATGGTACCCGACCGGCCACTTCCGTCAGCGGTATATATCGGACATGGTGCTCCGTTGAGGCCCGAAGCGTCCGCATTCGTATCAGACATTGACCCCATTTTTGGGCCAAATCCGTCCGCACAAATATCGGACGTGTCATGGAGTTTGCCGATCTCCTGGGCGGTGGCTTTCAGACGAGGGATGACCAAAGTAGTGGAAGTGGAAGTCACTTCCACTTCCATTATTGACTGCCAGTGGAAGTGGAAGTCGCTCCCACTGACGCCCCAGTACTCACTTCCACTTCCATCAAGCAGTGTCACGGCCGCCATCATCCCGCCTCCCCGGCGCTTCTTCACCTCGGCGACGTATCAGCCCGCGTTGAACGGGTTTGTGTATGTTTCGTGAACATGTAATTTTATGGGAGGGGCTACATTATAATTATCAGAGAATAAGGTGTCACTGGTGCAGCGCGAGAGACGTGGACAAGGGAATTCTGATAGGAGAACTTACGGAAATTATTCATGGTACACAAGCAGTGCCATTATGCACAATACCTCGCGATGGTAAAATCCTTTCAGCATTTTCTTATGCCACCCATTTGTTTTTAGGAGAATCCGGCCCCTTTCTTTCCCGAAAAAGCCTAGGTGCGTACTTCTCTATTTATGCCTTCATGTATACAGACCAGGATCGGAGGTCGGAAGTGAAGCTATGGGATCCTTTTTTTACCGGGAGAAGTTCAGACAGGTTGTGGTGGAGAACAAAAAAGAAGTGAAGCCTGGGTGGCAACAAACAATTAGTGTTTTTCTGGCTTTGGCCTCAGGCCAAAAAGCCGTGGTTTTTTGGCTTTGGTACCAAAGCCAAAGCCAAGCCAGTGATTAGCCGATGGCCTGGCCTGAGATTTCCTCAGGCCAAAGCCAGATATCATACAAATTCCCCGCCAAAAGCCATGGCTTTGGCTTTGGCCTGGCCCGTTATTTTGGAAAGCCAAGGCCATGGCTTTCAGGCCAAGCCAAGGCCAGAAAAACACTACAAACAATGCAATCTTCGCATCATGATTGCTGAATGGATCCAGAGACGCGTCGGCGGCGCATCAGTGGTGGCCGCAGGCACTGTCACACCACGCTAAGCCGTTCACTTCCACTTCCACTGGGTCGCACTTCCACTTCCACTACTTCTGTATATACTCCTTTCAGACTATGGAGAATGTTTAATAAAACTAGCCATCTGCCAACGTACCGCGTCTGTCCAACGTCTGTCGGTGTCTGAGCCTGTTAGTTTTAATTATCAGCCGTCCATGATCTCCATCTGCCAGAACTGCAAATGAAAAGATTCTCACCTTGTAGGTATGAGTCTGTGGCAATTCTCGTATCAGCAATCCATCTATCCGTGATACCTACTCACCACGCGTCGCCGTCGTCAGTATAGCGTGTGTAGATGGACCGGGGTTGTGAGTGCCAAGTCGGTGGCTTTCCGTTAAAAAAAGTATACAGGCGGCGGGCTCGGTGTCTTTTGCGGTAAAGCTGGTCCTGGTGGCTATCAACCATCCAACGTCCGTTTGCCGCAACTCCGAAACTCACCTGGAGCCTAATGCGATGCTCGCCGGCAATATGTACCAATCTCACTCGAGTCCTGCCGATACCGATATCAATCAGCCCGCCCGTTCACCATCCATCCAACCCATCTACCCACTCACCTGAAAGATTACACAACTACTGACTCACGAGCGCGAAGACGAAGGAAGACGCGACGTGGACGCGGACGAGATCCTCAAAGCGGGGCAATATCATCGTGTGAGTTTGCGCCTGTTGACGCGTCATCAGGCGTGGGCCGCTCGGCTAACCGGCCGGGGTCTTTACTAGTTGGTCTGAGGAAACTTCTGAGGAAATTCGCAGTGATGGCTTCTGAGAAAAATGGCCTCGCTACGCGATGTGGACGGGCGCCGGATAGACGCATTTTATAGCTCAAAGCTTACAAAGGAAGAACCAAGGAAGAGCAAGAGAAAAAAAATATCCACCGAGGACTTTTATGGCCTAGCCTGGAGTCGAACCAGGAGCATTAATATTCCCGCTGCGTAATGCGATCCCATCTAGATCACTTAAAGCAGGCGCGGGCCGTCCGCTACTAGGTCTCATTACCTTCGTTTTTAACTTCTGATAGGTTGAAGAATTTGAGCAGCAAGAGTAAAAAAAGTGTAAGATACAAGAAGACAATGACCTAGCCTGGAGTCGAACCAGGGGTTCCTGCAGCAGAGATTTCCAAATACTTGTCACTGAATGCAGGTGCGGGCCATCCACTACTAGGTCTTCCTACTCCCAATTTCAACCTTAATTCATGCAGGACTTCGAGGCAGCGAATCCGCGGGTCGAATGAAAAGTTTTGAAAGAAGTATGCATGGCCTAGCCTGGAGTCAAACCTGGAATTAGTTCCCGCTGTAACAAGAAGATGTGCTATTGAAAGCAGTTTCAGTCCGTCCACTACTAGGTCTTATTCCCTCAATTTCACTTCTGCCTTGCATTGTACTGTATCTTTGGCGGCTCGAACCACGAATGAAACAAAAAACTCAAGAATTATGACCTAGCCTGGAGTCGAACCAGGAACTCCTGCCGCAGAGTTGACATTCGCTATTGAAAGCAGGTGCGGTCCGCCCGCTACGAGGTCTTTCATCCCTCAATTCCACCTCTACCTTGAACTGTATTTCTGGCAGCTAGAACCACCAATCAACCAAAAAGATGGAGAAGTAGCCATGCATGACCCAGCCTGGAGTCGAACCAGGAGCATTCCCGCTGTGAACCGGGGCTATTTTTTTCCCCAGTGAAAGCAGGTGCGGTCCGTCCGCTACGAGGTCTTTCATCCCTCAATTCCACCTCTACCTTGAGCTGTATTTCTGGCAGCTAGAACCACCAATCAACCAAAAAGATAGAGAAGCAGACATGCTATGACCCAGCCTGGAGTCAAACCAGGGGTTCCTGCAGCAGATATCTTCAAGCATTACCGCTGAACACAGGTGCGGTCTGTCCGCTACTAGGTCTTATTTCTCTCAATTTCAAACTTTGATACATTGGAGAATTTCAGCAGCTAGTAAACAAAAAGGTTTGGACACAGAGTATGACGTAGCCCGGAATCGAACCAGGAATTCCTCCAGTACATCCTCTGCTACTAGGTCTTATTTCCTCTCGTTAGACCTCTGACAGATTAGAGAGTTCTCAGCCGCTCCAACGACAAATCAACCAAAAAAGACTTGTCACAGGAGCAAACCATGACCCAGCCCGGAGTCGAACCAGGAAATCCCGCTTTTCATCTTAAAGCGTTGACCAGCCCAAGCAGGCGCGGTCCCGCTACTAGGTCTTTCTCCGCTCATTTTGCCTTATAAGATAGCAGAGAATTTGAAGCAGCAGGAACAAAGAATCAACAAAATAAAAAGGCTTGGAACAAGAAGTTATATGACCTAGCCTGGAGTCGAACCAGGAATTTCTGCAGCATAACACAGTATTACATTCTATTCCACACAAAAACAGGTGCGGTCCCTCCCCTGCTAGGTCTCATTACCACACTTTCGATCTCTGATAGATTATGAAATTTTCAGCGGGTAGTAAATAAAAAGGCTCGCATATAAAGGCCATGACCTAGCCTGGAGTCGAACCAGGAATTCCTGCCGTACGACGTCAAGTCTTCGGATCTGGCATACTGAACGCAGGTGCGGTCTGTCCACTACTAGGTCTCCTCTCCTCCACTTTCAACTCTAATTCATGCAGGACTTCAAGGCAACGAGAACCGCAAATCAAATAAAAAATTTCGAAAGCCTGGATGCATGACATAACCTGGAGTCGAACCAGGAGCTCCTGCCAAATCGTTTTCAATCGAAGCATAGTAACTGCAGGTGCGGTCCGTCTGCTACTGGGTCTTCCTTTCCTTGATTTCAACTTTGATGGAGTAGACAATTTCCAGCAGCTAGTAAACAAAAAGCACTGGATGAGGCCTATGACCCAGCCTGGAGTCGAACCAGGAGCATTCCCGCTGCATAATGTGATCCCATCTAGAGCATTGAAAGCAGGTGCGGACCATCCGCTACTAGGTCTCCTCTCCCTCATGTTGAATGCTGCATTCTCAGCGAATGAACTAAAAAAAATAGAGGGCCATCAAAACATGATCTAGCCTGGAGTCGAACCAGGTATTACCTCCCGTTGTATTTCGATTCTTTCACCGAAAGCAGGCGCGGTCCATCCGCTACTAGGTCTACTGTACTATACATTCAATGTGAGAACCTAAGTTCGGCAATCCAAATGAAGACTGGGAGGATGTATTCTGGCACCGAGCGGTGAGTCGAGGGAATAACAGAGGATGGATTCCGAGAGGAATAGAGTAGATTCTCAACTACTGACAAAGTTGATCTACGAGGTAGCTAGGAATTTGGAGGAGTATTTATACAGGAAGAACTGAATTGAAATATGTGAGACAAGGTTGAACAATTAGAACAATAAAGTGAGTCATGGTAAGGAATGGAGGATAACAATTAGACTCGATCAATAATGGAGGAAGAAGAATTAAACAATAAGAATTGAAGAATGGAGAGAGCCCGGAGAGTCCGATGGAGCGTGAGAGCGAGGGGTTTCTCACATTCAATTCGACAGTCACATGTCACAGGGGTACCTGTCGATGACGAACTTTGGTGCTTGTCAGGGGTCACAGGGGGGTTGTCGAATAGGTCCGACAGTTTGTAAAATTCTAAAAAAAAGGCACTCAGCAGCGAGAGCGTGACAAAAAAAAATAATTTGTGCATCCCCCGCATCGAAACTGGCTATGTATTTTGTTCTTTTGTCAAGTCTACATATGTATCAGCCTAAACTCTCACAAAATCACTGGGAAAACCATCATCAGGCAATTAATTTAAACCAAGGTCGGCCTGGCTTTCCCTGCTTCTGCAAACTATCCCAAATGATTCTATGATGTCCCTGCATCGTTTGGGATGTTGTCACGGTCCAACGTGGCCGTGTCGAAGTGTCGAATATGTTCGACATGTCACGTGCCAACCCGTTGTCGAATTGAATGTAATAGTACAGTATCATCGTGTGAGTTCACGGTTCTACACCACGTATTTGCTGCTCAAGGATTGAGTTTTGGAGGGCGCCAGCGACCTAGTGAGTTCTGGTGCGACGAAAACAAGATGAGTCGGAAGGAAAGATGGAACATCACGTTCACGTGATAGATCGATGCGTCTCTGTTAACCAAACAACCCAACACACTGCGCATCAAAGTCATTTGCATTCCCACTAGTCTCCCTAGTCAGACCAATAAACAAATGTTTTTTTTTGGAGAGAGCGAACTGGAAAAAAACTTGTTTATGGTCTGATTTTGTTCGCGCATCAAATACCGTAGGTCGACCTTCGCAACCCGGGATTCCCAATTAGGCAGGATCTTCCGCATTGAGACGACCTGACAAATCCCCACGTGCGCCATCACTTCTCAGTCGCGTCCCTGCCCGACGCGCTTTTCTGATGTGTCCTTCCAATGGAGGGGTACGAAAATGACCTCCAATGGTCGTTCCATACACCCCCCGTGCACGTATGGTTGCAGACCAAACTTCGTGACAAACTTTGGTCCCGATTTGGGAATTGCTACTGTTCCTCTAGTTTTAACTCAGGCATCAAGTTATTGTGTAAATAGCACTATAAGAAGGCCCTCTACAGATCCCCCGGAGCGAAAGTTCAAAAAGTGTAAATATCTATTTTTCCCACCGAGATTTTGCGTTTTCAGTTCGGGCCGGTCATAACCGGTGGCTGTGCTCTGCCATCAATCGCGCCCGACGTCTTTCTCCCGCTCCACACCATGCCGCGGGTCTCCCAGACCACCTCTCACCAGCACCGGGGCACCGGGGGGATGTTTGCCCCGTCTCAGACTGTCCCCGGGAACGCCGAAACTGAACCAGAAGACAATAGGGACAATATGTGGGAGAGTGATACGGAATCTGACACGGAGGAAGACGCCGACTATTTCGAGGCCTGGGAAGCGCAGCCCAAGCCGCGGACTTATGACGAGCGCGAAGAGAGACGGCTTGAGAAGCAGGAGAAGGCCGCTGCCAAGCACCGTGCCGCTGAGATGCGAAGTGCCGAGAATAGGGAAGGCGGGGCATTGAATAAAAATGGAGGCACATTTTTTTGCTGTGGAATTTGAACACCAAGTTAATCACCATCTTTAGGCACTCACAGAGGAGTGTATGGTGTTGGGGGCGCGTCCAAGCGAACGGTTCAAGCTAAGAAGAAAAAACTTCGGGACACCTTCAAATCTGGTTCTCTCCGCATCTCAGAAGATGAATTCAAGTGCCAGTTGGCCGCCATTGACGCAACCGAGGTTCGTTCTGATTCTAAACCTGCTACCAAACCGGCTCTCGCTACTTCTGGGTCACTGCCGGCTCCGCGCACCATTGCCAATATGTTTGCAAACCAGAAACGGGCCCGCGCACCCTCTCCGGACGACGGAATTGAAGAAAATTTCCCCCTTCCTGGTGTTTCTTTCAAACGTCTCAGAATGGACCCGCCCGAGCTTCCTACGGAAGAAGAGTCTTTGTCCGACAAATTAGGAGATGAGGAGGAGGAGGAGGAGCCTGTGCCGGAGCAAGTTGAGGAACAGGCACGGGAAGAACATGGGGACGAGGTGGTTGACTCTATTGTCTTGGCAGACGATGTTGCGGACTGGGTGGAGACGGTTCTCGATGATGCAGCCCCGCGGGACCCCAAAGAACTCGGACCTCTCGCTGCTGCATCCCTCAAAACGGCACGCAAGCAGAAGGACTATCGGAGCGAGGTTCTGTTTGCTTCTCTAGTCGATTTTTATCGCTGGATGCCTCGCATGGGACGTCTCAGGGCAGCGCTTCGTGTTGCTAAATACCATGGCCGTGGCCCCGCCTTTCAGCGCGTCATTGCAGCGCAGGCTCGCTTTTTCGAGGTGAATGGTGCACTGAAACCCAGTCACCAGGGCCAACGCGAAAGGTCTAACGGTCTTCTCGACGATGAAGGGTTTTACCTGGGTGTTCAACGATGGTTGAGAACACTTGAGGTCGGCACCGTAATTAATTTTCCCTTGGCTCCCCGCCTACCCGATTGTTGCTGATATTTAATTCCAGGTCAATCCAAAATTACTGCAGCGTCATATCAATGAAACGTTACTTCCCTCGCTCGCACTCAAAAAGAAGACCGTTTCGATCCGGCATTGTCAGCGATGGCTTTGGAGGCTCGGATACCGCCGCAAGCGCCAGCAGAAGGGCGTTTATTGGGATGGGCATGAGCGTAAGGATGTGAAGCGGCGGCGC